TGTGTTTGTTTTACTGTGTTTCAGATGAGGATGAAGAGAACCAGGACACGGTGGAGCAGATCCTTAAATGTATCATACAAAATGAAGGTGACAGAACCCACTAATATTTTCTCAATATTTTTTTAATTTCTTGTTGGAATTTGGAAATTCTAAACCTATAACATATTCAAATTATAGTTATATAATGGTCATGGAAATGATGTGTAGACCAGGGGTCTGAAGTTCTCCAGAGGCCTGGTAATGAACTATTCATTTGATACAGGTGTGCTGACCCAGGGTGAGAGCTAAACGCTGCAGGACACCGGCCCTCGAGGCCCCTGATGTAGACTCTCAACTTTCATTTAAGGGTATCTACATTCAAATTGGATGAAGGGTTTAGGACAGGGGTGTCCAACTTCAGTCCTCGAGAGCTACGGTCCTGCAGCTTTTAGATGCATCCTTGTTCCGACACACCTGAATCAAATGGCTCGTTTGATTGGCTTGTTATCAGGCCTTTGTCAGACTTGATGGCATGCTGAAGAGGTAACCATATGATTCAGCTGTGTTGGAGTAGGGAGGCACCCCTGGTTTAGGAGTTTCAGCTCCTCGACGTGTGCCTCGCTCTTTTTAAAGGGACCAAAAGTAACTGGACTATTGACTTAAAGGCTATTTCATGGGTGGGAGTGGGCAGTTCCTTCATAATGTCATTACAGTTAAGTAGATAAAAGGTGTGGAGGTGATTTGAGGTGTGGTGGATGGGTAATGAGGGAACAGGCTTCAGGTGGGAACAGAGCTGACACTAATCAGGTTGACGAGACAGGAACAGGAACTGGACCTAACACCAAGACGCAGAAACATGTGAATGTGACACTAGGACTGGGAGTAAAATGACAAGGGTGACATGTAACATGCATAGAAACAGAAACCTTAAAACTATAAGACAAACAGATGCAAATACTACACAAGGCAGAAACGCAACAATAAGAACCAAAGCCAGGAACATAAACTACATTTTAGAGCATTAAATAAACCGGAACAAAAATGTCCAGATACATAAAACTGGATCACGGACCCAGCACCTAACAGTAGTAGTTGTATTCATGTTAATTTACTATTTACTTCTTTTATTTGTGTCCTCTAGCAAATATGGAAGCCTTCAATGAGATGTTGGGAAACCATAAAGTC